TTTACTGTGACCAACATATTGTTGAAACTCAATTGAATTGTTATGATTATCTTTATTTGTAAATTCCAAGTTTAAATGCTGGTCGATCAAAAATAAGCATAATTTCAAAATCTGTATCTGGAATAAATATAATATGAATGCATATAAAATGAACTGTTAACCTTCAAAAGCAGGGAAAACAACTAAATGATACAATTATTATTATTATTTGTAAAAGATACACGAAATTATGCTGTCATTGAATCCTTAAAGACCTGCTATGTCGAAGTATATACATTCAGTTGACAATTGCTCATCAATTCCATAAATTGTAGCTATATATCAATTTTTAATAATAAGATTTGTAATTATTGTAATTATGTATGAAATATAGTCTTCACGAAAATATATATTTTGTCCACTGTATTTTCAATCGTCAATAACATGGTCAATTCATGCTACAACTACTGCAATTTTTAATAATAAGATTTGTAATTATTAGTTTTGTATAAAATATAGTCTTCACGAAAATATATATTTTGTCCACTGTATTTTCAATCAAACTACTCAAATTCACTCACATTCATTGATCATTGTATATTCTAGCAACTGTATCACCGTGTAAATAAGAGTTCAACATCTGCCACTGCTTTCAGACTGTCACACTGAAACTAATTGTGGCCTTTTCTGCCACTATACTAGATAATGTATGAATTTAACTACATATTTGGATTATATCAAAGACATCAATAATATTCAATGAAAATATACATGCGCTGGCATCATGAATATGTTGGTAATAATGTTGATTACCCAAATTCGAGAAATGTATACGTGTCTGATTGAATACATTATATTACCTAGTCTATGTTGCAAAAAAGTATATATTTGGTAAGTGTAAATGATAGTATCCTTATGCCCATAATTCTTGTGAAATGTATATTAGATTAAAGAAAGTTAAAATTAGCACAAATGTGGTTGCTGGATAAAAGAACAAATCTGATGATATTGATTAAATGAAGTGGTCTTTGACTTAAAAGTTGTACCATCTGAAGAAGAGTTCTCCAAGTGAGAATAAAATCACCAATACTAATGATTGGGGGTTCTTTTGCTGGCTGCCACTCTCCACTGTGTCATCAGTTGCATCTACCGCAGCATAGCTGGTGAATTTGAAGATGATATTATCATCATTGTTGGGGTAGTAGTCATCCACGCCTGGATAAAAAAGAAAAAAAGACAATGATCATGTAATATATATAACAACATAAGCGAAAAAAATAACAGTACAAACTGTCCAAACTTTGCTTTATCTGGAATTCAGATTTGTGACGTGAGCTATTATCTTTGAGATTTTGCTGTAACACTGATCTTTTGAAAATGTGGACATTAAAATGTAACTAGTGTCACCAAGTTGCATTGATGTTGTCATGACGATGCTATGGGGCGACGCCCTCACTGGCGGAGTCCACATGCCGTCATGACAACGCATGCAAAGTATTTAGACTATTGGTTGAACGATTAACACTGTCGTTTATAACGAAATGGGGGGTTCTAGCGTATTAAGTGAGAAGAGGACCGGGGGCGTATGGTGACGATTGTAGTTGTAATAAATATCTGGATATACTATATTACTGGTGTCCTTATGATTGAATGGTGCATATAAGTGTCGAGCGATCCTAGTGTACCACTCACTGCCTTGCGAGTTACCCATTCCCCGTTACAACCACTTCCCGTATATTCAACCTGACGAACCATCCACCCATAACAACCCCTGATAGACGAAGCCCGCATTGTTTACACTAGTTAACTAATTTGTTCTTGTGGAATTTTGGGTTGGATTTTGCGTTCTTGTAATTGGACTTATCAATTTCCCATATGTAATACGATCCATGGTTGGGTATGTTACTTCTAGCTTGCATTCCATGTCAAGAAATCGTGAACATCAACAGCATTGTAAAAGCTATTATATAACAGTGCATCTATCACGGGTGAGCTAGTTTTACCTATGGTGGCTAGTATTACAATGTTTTAGCTAATTACCAACCAGTTAGTAAAACTGATTGAACCAGTTACACGACTTACTCTTGTATTGGAGCACTATTGAATGTACCTCGCAGAAGCATTGACACATACTAACACATGCTCTACTTGAATGTAACTGTTCTGAAATCCATCTAGGAGCGAGCGCTTTTCAATTCAATGCACAAATATGGATATTTTCTACCTATGCACAACAAACCGTATTTAGAGGCTTAGAAACCCTCATAGTGCCAATTAGTGATCACATACGAATTTTTCTCTCCTATGAGCAAGTTACACACTTACATTTGGCGGCAAACCTATTTATGCAACACTCTCACTACTTCACAGATCTTGAGGATAGTATAGCACTATATTTTATGTCACAATGAACAATATAGTGTTCAGTTGTTCTCGACTTGGACTTATATAAATTAAACTCACCGACTGCCAATGGTTGCGTGTAGTTGTAAATGGCCCAGTATGTTTCATCCACAGTACTGCTTTGAATGCCATACATTGAAGTGATATAGTGACCCCATGCAGAGTCCTCAGCAATAAAACTTGAATACGAAAAGTAGAACTTCAGAACATGTAGTTTTATCACATTGTTTTACACAACATATACTAGCACTCTTTCAAAATTATCCGAGATGCTTCAAAAAATTTACCATAAAAGCAAAGACATGTTACACAATAGGTGGTGGCTCCGTTCACAGCGTGATATCGCGTATTACGTAAAAGGCGCGGTACGAATGATTTGATTTTGAAATTGAATTTCTCTTTTTATAGTTCAATGTCGATTTGACTAACATTCAGGAAGGAATGTGGCGTTGAAATATACTACTATAATTCATCAAAACTGACCATCATCAAATCATCATTATTTAGCGTGGAAATACCCAAGAAATAGTTTTGCGTGTGCTGAATCCCACGCGATGTATTGTATTGTTTGTCCTGGTTTTACGTTCGATGTCAGGCATAACGCGGGATCTCGCAGAGAACCAAAAATATGAGTAGACGTATAGGTATATCAAACACTTACTTGAATTCCCCGTCAGTGGACGCCTCTAGAGCAATCATAATGCTATACAGATTATTCCCAGGGGATACATAGACGTTGAACTTCCCTAATACCTGGTCATAGTTGATGGTATCAATAACAGTTATAGACACCGAAATTAAGTCTCCGCCGACATTTTCCCAAAACAGCTGAATGATGTCTTGCTTGTCTAAGATTATACAGAGATAAATACGATTTTAGGAATATAGAACATTCTTACGAGTGAGACAATAAGTGATTTATGTCATGGTGAAGACTACATTAGTGTCATCACCGCCAGACGTGTATGTCTTACCTTTGTTCGATGTAATATTGCACATTTCAGTGTTGATTTCACTGTAGTGTTTGCCGACCAGCGATGGCAATACCTGCATAGTTGTCATCAGGTGGCCATTAAAAGAACCGTCGTCGTCTTGCTCAGCCAGGATACTACGAATAAGGTTTTCACACTGCCATTCAGAGGAGGTATCCCAGCAGCTGTGAAAGCCTGAAAGATCACATTCAGGAAATGTTTATTTTGCTTTATGTCAAATCAAAAGAATTCTTTAAGACATAGGTTTACTTAATTACATGTGTTGGATTTAGTTGGTCCGCACATGCAAAATACACATACTTAAGTTTTTTGTAGATTCCTAAATGTTATTTCGAACATTCAATAACCTTAGCGTCGCAAACTAAATCTATAATCAAATACCTGCCATTAACAAGAAATTATTGTATGAAAACCTACGAAACGCACATTGAACATTCAGATATTGAACTTTAATTTGGTGAATGTATTTTTGACGTTTAATATCGAATTTATAACTCAATGAAAAAACATATAACATTTTCAAAAATACCACTATATATAAAGTACTACATACAGGACATTCAAAAAATATTTTGCAGTTCCATGTTATTGTTCTGATTATTGCTGTCTCATGCTTTCAGATATTTATTATCATTTTAGAACTTTTTTATCACAAAGTATGTTTTTACTGTTTTTACATTTTCAGAACTGTTTTACTGGTATATAATAGTAGTAGCAATAGATTTACTCCAATACACTAATGCCACTGCTAGCTATAGTATATGCAATGTACATGTGT